TCATATTACAATCCTTAAATTTAAACTTAAATAATTGAGTAATGCATAATACATACAGAATAATGAAGCATGAGTAATGAGTTTGACAAATGTAATTTAAACAATTGTAGTTTGATAGTGTTTTAATTAAATATTATTGTAGAGATACATTTCCGTCAAGTACATCCTTGCGCCATCTATGATGATGTATTTCAAATTATAGTACAAAACATGACGATACATAACCGAAGAATAGTTGGCGCGAAATATGTGTATTAGTATTTCTTAACAATTTTCATCTTAAAAAATTGCTCTAAATTTGCTCCCGCGGAATCTAAAATTACTCCCATCGCAATTATTATATTTAATGAGATATTCGCAAATGAAAAAGCAAAAATTTGTTGTCTGCAAAATAGATAGGAAATGGTCTTTCTAGACAAATACGATGGTACCCAAAAATTGCTCCAGATCTGTTTTATAATATTCAATGGTCAGATATCTTAATAACAACTTATTAACAAGGAGGAATTGAAATAATGTTGTTGCATACAGGCACAGACGAGATATAAGAATAGACCTAACATGCAATGTAAATTTCTGTCCATACTTCGAGGGCATCAGAAGCCCCCTTACCATTTTAGTGTCAATACCCGACGTTACCGATAAAGCATGAATTCTGAGTATTATTCGCACAAATGAAGTGTTATATATTCCATTCATATTGCGTTTATCTATATGATATGACGGAAATAAAAATATCCGATGCATCAGTTTCAGGTTAAGGGATAAACATGACAGTCATGAAACATGAAACAGAAAAGTATATATTTTTTCACTTAACTACAAGACAATTTATTCTAAATGCATCGCGTTAATGGACATTTTATTAATGTTACTCTTTACATGTTCTTGTTTTATTCGTTTTTATATCTTGCCTTACATTTGTATATTTGTAACAGATAAATTCAGAATACATGTAGTTTCATAAATAGTTTATCAAATCTACCTTTTGGCCCGCGGCTTACAATTTCCCTTGCGGGAATGCCTTACCGTAATGAGCCATCTCGTTGCCGCGGGATTCCGGGAATTGGGTGACGTCACGGCATGCGAGCGAGAGCGGTAGAGCGAGCCGCGGTATCGGTGCTCTCAGTCGGTCCAACGCGCTAGTGATGTTGCGTCACACAGTTTATTGACCTAGCCGTGTACGCGTGTACCAAGGCCGTACCTGGCCGTACCATCCGATGTTTGGGTCGTTCAAGGAAGGTCGTTCAAGCCGGCAAAAACAATTCAACACGAACAAACCTGCGTAC